AGTGATTTGTTGCCTCTGATTGGCAGCTGAAAACTATGTGAAAAATGATTGCATATTTGATAGTGGATCCTTCTTTAGCCAGGTTTGTCACACAGCTTCTTCTTATTCAGCATTTAAACAGACAGATCTGTGTCTACAGTTTGAAACAACTCACATCGAAAAAAGTTTAAATGTGGAGCACTGCTTTCAAATGAAAAGCCTCATATTTTTACATGTTTTGCATTATTCTTATGTGTTTGATCTGGGGTCAGCCGGTACTAATATGATTGAATTGAATTGAATGTATCCTCACCTAAACCTCAGACTTCTGGCATAAACATGTTATAAACATCAATACTAACTTATATTGGTACCTGATTATTACCAATACAACGGAGGCTCAGGCATGTCTGTACATGTCCGGTGGCCTGCTGTTTCCTGTCCCTGTGCGCGTGTGTCTCTGCGCGCGTGTGTTTTCTCTCTTGCTGTATGAGCATGCGGGGTTTTGCAAGAGTAGCATGATTGCAGTTTCCATGGTGAAATCAATGTTTACTTTCATGTTTATGTTTCACGTCTTTGGGCTGAAAAACACAAGACGGACATTCCCACAGCAGCTTTCTGTCTGTGCGTGGGAGGGGGGTGAAAACAATAACTCAATAAAAACTCCATTCAAAAAAGTAAAATTCAGATTTTTTTCAGGATTTTCAAAATGTTTTATGTAGTTTTAAAAATAAGTAAAGTGATTCAACATCAAATTAGGGATCATATTTTTATGTTTGCAATTAAAATTTACTTACTTCTTTCGTCTTTGCAGTTTACTTTCCTTTTATTGGTTCTGCTGAGTCATTGGACGTTCCAGTAGAAACAACGGACGGAGGAATGTGAGCTATGCAGCTCTCTGATTGGTTAGAGAGAGAGCGCGTCACCAGAGTTACTTACGTTCTATAGTTTCTTGTTGCGCTGCAGAGTACAGGCTGTTGTTCCTGCACGTGGCGTGTTATTCACACTTGTAAAATCTTCAGCTGTGACATATGAAGAATAAGAAGTGACAGTAGAGCGACACAGAGTCTTTATCCTCACAGTGCAGCGGTGGATTCAGCCTGTTTAAGGTAACTAACAATGCTAATGCTGTCAGACAGCACTGAGCTGTTACATTCATACACAGTGTCACAGCAGTCTTTAAAATAGTGATTAAAACGCTGCCTGTAAACAAAGTGTCATCAGACAGGATGTCATCACTAAACTTTCAAACAATTCAGATTAAAATGAGCTGACAGCAAATCGTTCCTTGTATTACTGCACAAGGAAAAGACTGGAGATGACAAAAATGATTTAATGGATTTTGTTTTCATTACACGTGTGCACACTTTCAATCTGAATGACGACATAAATGGTGATAGTAGTGTGTGTGTGTGTGTGTTAAGAAGCCATTTGTATCTGTGTGCTAACAACTATGTGCTAACCAGATTATTTCCCATTTAAAGAAACAAACAAAAGAACAACATGCATTAAATTATTCCATTGTAAGAATCTGATCCATAGTTCTCACTTTGCAAAGGCAGTCTGATTACAGCACTAATTGACATGTTATAATACGTCTTTTTACAATCTCCACCTGATCACCATCCAGCAGGAGGAGCAGTGAGTCCTGAGGCTGTGCTACCAACCAGGATTTCATCTGATCCAGGTAACTTCAGGGTCTCTATACTGCTGGGGTAAATCACCACGGTAACTTAATCAGATTAGAGATCAACAATACTGTAGTTTAGCTTTTTCTCTCACGCTGCTGATTTTATATAAAATACACAACATATATTTTAACTTTACTTACTCAGTAAACCCTGGTAAACTTAACAAACTGAGCTTTGTGCGACTGCTTATTCTGAACAACAGTGTTGGGGTAAGATACTGTAGGTGTGCTGAACTCACTACAGACTTTACCTCAGATGTGTAACTTCTGACTCATAAACGCGTGTTTCAATCTACACTGTGTTTCAAAATCCAAAGCAATTTGACCACAAGCAAAAACCATTTTACTAATGTCTACGTAATTTACACACAATTTACTTTCAGTTTCACAAGTCTGATAATTTTCTTGCTTCCTGTGAGAACAGATGTCTAAAAATATGTGACTCTATTTTTAACTGATGTGCAGAACCTTAAATGTGTGAAGAAATCACCTAAGACACAGAGATGCCCACATTTCTGCTACTGTTAGCACTTTGTGCTCTCATCTAACATGTGATATCCTGTCATATCAGGTAATTCCTTCACACATTTGCTGAACATAAACATTTTGGAGGGTAAATAATCACTATTCACTGTTGGACGTACACATTTGTAAATCTTAGTTTATGTTTGTGGATCATATCAGAAGCTTTGGTAAAACAAACATCTTGTGTATTTTCAGTCGACTCAGCTTCTCTTTTAAACTATGTAACACTCATGAATTTGGGATCTGCAGGACAACCTGAGATGGATACTTGCAAATCTGTGATATTCTGCTGGATTCTGCTCGTCTGCTTTTCACCGGCTGCATATACAGGTGAGACCAGCAGGTATCACTGCTGGGAATTGAATTGCTTTCATTGTCACTTTATATATATATACAATTTAAATTATTACATTCAAAATAATTATAAAGCTCATTCACACCACGTTCACATGTATCAGCAGCACATTTGGTCTGCTGATAGGAGGGACAGAGGGAAGTACTGAATAGTTGTTGCTGAGCAGTGATGTTTCATGGGATGATGACACAGCAGACTTTTCCCATAGTTACTCACACACATATTATGTGAAAATTGTAAAGACTGACCAAAAGGTAACAAAAATAGTGCCAATAATCTTGATGATGATAGAAATAAGAGACAGGTTTGTATAATAATTCAGAGGCTGTCCACCTTCATAGTAATCAGATAACGAGTCAACCATTTAAAGTGATCAGTGTTTGCCGTCCTGTAGCTGTGAGCTCGTCTCCTGGTAAAGATGACGAAGATGATGCTCAGTGTGGTGAAAGCTTTCATCAGAGCTCTGATCTTTGATCTTCGCTGATCCTGGTTTCTTCTGTGTGTAACCTGAACTAGGGACAAGTGCTGCCAACACAGCATTAATGTGTGCTGTTTAAGTTGGTATTGTTTATGACAGCATTTTATAATGACTGTAAGTGCATTTATCATTTTCCACACACTCCCAGCTCCAGCAGACTGTGAACACTAGTTGTTGATATAGATATAGATTAGATATATAGATATAAATTTGTTATTCCCAGAAGTTTGCAGCTCTAATGTGGATAAAATTCCTCTCAGGTGAAAATAGTGGACACATATTAGCATTAAGGGCGTGTCTTACATGTAATTAATCAGTTTGTATACAGGGAGTGCAGAATTATTAGGCAAGTTGTATTTTTGAGGAATAATTTTATTATTGAACAACAACCATGTTCTCAATGAACCCAAAAA